TCCAGGCTAATCTATACCAYTACTGAAACAGATTGCACTTAACGTTGTATTTTTTTAGTTTCATAATTTCTTCAGGGCTTGAAACAAATGTCAAGTTTGCTCTATTAACTGTAACAGGACCTGGACTTAACAAGTATATGTGTTAGATTCTGTCTGCCTGTGGTTTTTTCTCCCTTCATTGACTGTACCTTTTAAATTGGTGTTTGACTTTTCAGGAGATTGTGAGGATGTGAATTGTTGGCACAGGAGTATCGCAAGGATATAATGTCTATAATAAAGCATCCCACTTGTCTACTGATGCCTGTGTTTTTWGAATTATCAAGCACTTAGGGATGTACAATCAGATAGCTGAGTTAGCTAAACATTCTCAACCTTATTACTCTGCATAAATGCTGGAATAGGTACCAGAATGAAWAATCCCAGCTGGCTAGTTTTAATGCTGGATTCACTTTAGTACAAAGCTAACCTGTGGAGAGAAAGTATTCTGAACATTTACATGTTACATGAATCCTGATTGCCAGCCTTGTACAGACTGTTCTGTTTTAACAATAATATTGGAGTAGCTGGAGGAACAAAYGCATCCTGTTTACAAGCAGCTTGTTTTAGACGTCACCCTTGATGATGAGGCACCTCTGGAGGTACCTGGGTAGTTTTGATTCTATATACTTTCCAATTAAAAGRCTTCAGATGCCAATTACTGAAAACTGCTGTAGCCTTTGAACARAACCCAAAGTACTTTCAGTCAAGCATAGAGATATGATTCCAATTTTCATGAAAAATGGAGGAAGGGAGGAAAGAAAAAATAAAGTGTTAAATTATGATGTCTGGCATTACCAGACCTACTTGACTTTTGTCTGGGAGAGAGGCATTATGCTGCAAATGCTAGAGACATGTCCTATCATTTTGTCAGAAAAAGTCCCTAAATACCTCTAAACCTTTCAGTCTCAACTAGATTAGTCTACCTGAAAGAAGGAAATAAATGCTGAAMGCAACTAATGCTACTATAAGTTAGCCTTAGCAGTGAATCTGTACCAGGATACACAGAGATTGATCATCGAAAGGAAGAACAGMAAATACTGCAGGCTTTAGCCCTGGTATATAAATCCTCTTGCAATTCAAGTTGACTTTTGTTTTCTTGCTAAGTCCCAGGAGATGTTATGAGTAAATAAAAACTGCTGCCCTCCTAATCACCCTTCAACCCTTCCCATCTGATCAGTTTTAGTGGTGCTGAAGAGCAGTGTCAGTAATGMCATAACTGTGCTCCACCAAAGCTGCTCGCTGAGACCGCTTTACAGCATAGTTTTCTTAAAGAAGAGGAAGCTGTCTGGAGACTGCTAGGAATAAGCTTTTACATACATAAATGAATATAGTAATAGATATAAACTGAAGTTTCTCCCCGTGCAGTCCAGTCATCAAGTCTGTGCAAACTTTAACAGATACTACCTCATGTGAGAGGCATGACTGGCTGCTTAGTTRCCAGAGGAGGTTTAAAAGGTCAGCACTCCCTCAACCTTTCCTACCAGTCATTCTGAAACTTTATCTGTCAGACAGCCCCATCTGTCACTCAGGAACTATATCTGCTTGCTTGTTTATTTTCTCACTTAGGGTTGAGGTCACCTGCCCTCCTTTTAGCTAATCAGAGGAGACAGTAGTAATCAAAGCACAATATCAGTGCTCCAGGGATGTCTTTTTTCAATAGGCTCTCTGTAGGTTGTTCTGCAAATCTTGCAAAGTAATGTAGACAAACACAACCAGAGGAAAAGAACAGGGAAAAGGTTTGGTTTAAGACCCAGCTAGAGGAAAAAAGTATTGCTGAATCCATATGCTATCTGGAAAAACAGGTGTAATACTGAGGAATTTCCCATGTGTGACAAGAAAAATACATCATTAAGTTTATTAAATGGTAGCCTTTTACAGGAACATTCAGTGAACATCCTAGCACACATATAAAGTGCAAAAAGAAGGTGAAAGTACTTATTTTTCAAACAAGCAAATCAGCCTCCTGACTGCTCAGTGTTCTTAAGGGACTGTGCATAAGATAACATGCCAGTCTGCACAGAGTTATTAATTTTGTTCTCTGAAACTTCCTCTAATAAATACCTTTGTAAAGCTCTGATAAGCAGTATTAAATAGCTGTCAGGTCCCACCTTCGAGATCAGTGCATTTTAGCATTTACTAAAGCTATTCCTGCAGAGTTGACTCTAAAAAGGAGCTTTATACTGTGGATAAGATTAATATCTGAGGGAAAGAGCAGTGAAAGAAAAATCGAGTTCAGGAAGAGAAAACRTGTCTGACTTGTTTACCCTTTGCCTAATTGTGGAGTGGGCTGGCAGTTTGCCTTACCCTGCAGACCTTTGCACATCTTGGAAGGATTTAAAGGATACGAGCACCAGCCTGCTCTCTCAAGACTGATTTCTCCCTGCAATGCWATTGCGATGAATCATGCATTACTATGATTAGCAGAGAGAGGTACAATTACTTTTCTGCAGCCGTGGCTGGCAAAAGATTGCTTGGAAGCCCAGATGTGACAGAGGTGGAAAAAACATCTTGTGGGACATGAAGAGAATGGAGAGAGGGAAATTGTTGCATGTACAGTTAAAAAAGAAAAAAAAAAAAAGTTGAAGAAGGAAACAGGAGGAGAAAGACTTGTAAATGACCACCACCAGGACTGAACTGGACCTTTCCTCTGAGCAAGTATGATTTTTCTCATTCTTAAGAAGCTGCTTATCAGCAAGTATTTGTACCAGATGGTACCCCAATCAAGAGTAAATTAAAAAAAAAAAAAGAAATACAGACACACTGAAAGATATCAAAGAAGAAAAGTAAGCTATCCTGAAGAAGGTTTAGTAATTTGACCAAGCAATTGGAAAGTGCCTGTCAAAAATGAAAGGAAGCATTGTAGTGAGATGGAGTGGAAGAGAAGATAATCAAGATGAGGAGAGCACTGGACAACTGCTTGGCAGTCCCCACATGGTCTCCTTTCTTGGAAAGGACAGCAAGTGGCTTCTTTCTAATGCTGGTTGTTTCTAACCTGTTTGAACAATGGTGCTGASATGACACAAAGTCCTAACAGCCTTTGAAATTCAAGTTCTCAACAGAGAGGGAAGAAACTTCTAAATGACACAAAAGTAAAAGAAAACATTTTCTATTTCTATAGTGTAAATAACACTAATCTTTTGATATCCTTAGTATCTTTTCCTTTTTTCCCAATAATCTCTCATTTCTCTCATTGTCAAGGCATGAATGCTTCCAATACTTCTAAATTTCTATCAGTCTTTGTGGACCAAAATTGCTTGTACAATGTAATCTGTTAGAGGTCACAGGGCAACTTACCTGAAAGGTCCAAAGCAAAGGTTTAGTGCTTGCACCATTAAAACCAAAGGTGCACCAACAGTCAGTGTAGTAACCTAAAATGGGATGGGTTGGAAGGGACCTTCAAGGTCACATAGATAATTTCAGTCCCTCTTTTGTGGGCAGGAACACCTTTCAGTACACCAGGTTGCCCAGAGCCATATCCAGCCCCGCCTCGAACTCTCCCGGGGATTGGGCATCCACAACTTCTTCACTGGGTAACCTGTTCCAGTGCCTCACCACACTGACACATAAGGATTTTCTTCGATATCTAAAACCTGCCTTCTTTCAGTTTGGAGTCACTTCCCCTTGTCCTAAAAATGTACCCAGCCTTGCCCACCACTGAAGTCACTTAAATCATGTTGATATGAGACTCAGACTAACAAGTTTAAATGTGAATCTTAGACTAACAGGGCACACCGAGCAGCGGGCTAACGTGCTAGTCCCATTTCCCTCCGTGGGATTTGTCTGGAAACACTCACTGACAGACAATCACAGAACCATCAGGTTGGGAAACACCGCTGTAACCACGCAGTCCATGAACCTCGCTCACGCTTTCTCCAAACGTCTCTAAAAGGAGACCTCGTCCTCCCGTCTCGTCCCACCCCGCGGTGCCCGGAGCAGGCGGCGCAGCGGCTCCGTGCGGGGCTCTGCGAACCCTCCCGGCCGCTCCGAGCCGCGGTGGGCGGACGGACGGGATGGGGGGAAGAAAGGAAGGAGTAAGCCATGGAGGGAGGGACCGCCGCTCCTCTGCTGCCCTCTGCTGCGGGGCCCCGCGCCGCTCCGCTCCTCCGAGCTCCCGGGAGAGCCGTGCCAGGAAAGCTCCGYGCAGCGAGAAGAGCGGAACGGCGCTGGGAACTCCTGATGCGAGGACATGTTCGCCCTGTCCCTGATGGAGAAGCCGGAGACGGTACCTGCAGGGACAGAGGCCGGTCCAGAAAGTGGAAAAAACATTATCGACACATTTGGGGGAGGTCAAAACTTGCCTCCCTRTGCTCCCAGAGCAAAATTAAAATTAGCAGTGTTGTCCATGTTATGCCTGAAGATGATTAACGTCCCAATGAACAGTTGTGAGCGAAGAGAAACTATGTGTTTAACAAGTTTTGTGACGTTATTGAAATKATAATAATTGAAACTTAAGGTGAACCTGCGAGTGTCGCATTTTTCTGGGCGACCTGGAAGAGCACAGGTGGGCACCAGCACAGCGCGGCAGCGGCCGGGACAGCAGATCCGGGATGCTGGGCTGCCAGCCCTCTGGCACGGCTTCCCCTGCATCCCGAGGGCGGCGGCACACGGGCTGCAATGCGACGGCATCAGWTTTTACTCATGGCACAGTTTTCATTTTTCCTCCGTTTCCATAGGCAGAAAGCGATTTGAGGGATTTTATTCCGAATGAACCGCTCAATACAGGGCCGCAGGGCCTCCCTGAGGGGCGCTGAAGCGAGGTCGGCACTGCTCAGGTGCCCAGAGAGACGGGCGCTCCCTCTCCYTTCCCTTGYGCTCCTCTCCCCGCCGTTCTCCCCTCCCTCTCCTCTCCTCCCTTTCCCGCCTCAGGGCACGCACAGGCGCTGCAGGGGCGGAGCTGCACTTTTAGCCCTTCCCTTTGGCGGACAGCCCATGGGCCGCGTCCCGCCCCTCCAGCCCGCCCCTSCCACTGCTGAATCCACCGCCGAGCGACGGATTGCGGCGCGCATCGATTCCCTCGGCTCGCCCTGCCGCCCGCTCCCACGCACATCCCGGTGCTGGTGCCGGTCCCGGGGGATGTAGGAGGACGCTCGGCCCAGGGTACGCGGCAGCGCCGCCGGCACGTCCCCCGGTGCGGCCGCCTATCGCCTGCAAGGGCGGGCGCAGCCGCCGCCGCGGCCGTGTGGCTGCAGGCGTTCCCCGGGGAGACCGGGAAGGGGCACGGCTTCTCCCCGCCTGCCCCTCCGTGCCGCCGCCGGTCCCGCCCGGTCTCCGTGCCTTTAGAGTGTGCCTGCCCGCCCCGCGGGGCCATGGAGCGCGCGTTCACGCCGCTGGAATGCCTCCTGCCCGCCGGTACGGTACCTCCCGCCCTAGCCCAGCCGCACCGGCCCCGCCGCGCCGGGCAGCGAGGGAAGGGAGCGGGGCGGCCGCGCCTCCCGCAGCCCCGCCGAGCCCCGCCGCTCAAACCGCCTTGTGTCTGCCCCGCTTAGCTGCTTTCTGGGCTTGACACAACGGTTTGATACCGTGCTAACCCCCTCTGGAGTTCAAAATTGGCATTTTAACACCCCAGCCCGTTCGGTTTCAGTCGGTGCTTTCCGCTTTCTGCCACCGTTTCCTCGGTTTGGCCGGGCAGAATGCTCCGGTGAAGCCCGTCTGTCCCATGTCTCCTGTCTGTCTCTTGGGGCAAGAGGTCCCGGGGCTTGCCAGCCATTCCCCGTGTGCCTTTGACTCCCTGCCTCCTGCCCTGTGCTTTGCCTTGGAGTCACCCTTGCACTTCACCTTGCCTTTCAGTTCTGCACAGCAAAGCTTTGAGGGYTGTTTGGGCAGTTTTCTTTGGTTTTCCCGAGCTGTCTAACAGTGTCGTGGTTTTGGTATTATTTTTGAGACCTGAAAGGTGAACCTTATTAGTATACATCATTAACCTTATTGTTATGTGTCCAAAGGATGGAGCACCTGTAATAAGCACAGACTCATCAAAGTGGCTTGTACACTGTTTGGAATAGGCACTCTGTGTTATCAGTGTCTAATTCAGTAGGGTCCAATYTGTTTTTCAGTGATACCATTATAAACAGTAAATATTTTTATCTTTCTGTAATGTGATTTTAAAGCTGCATAAAAATCATTTTGGCATAGCATCTGAATTCTAACTTACACTGCTCTTTTGTACTCTGTTCTGGCACAGAGACCAGCTGCTGCATTCAGGTATATGTTGTTATTTATTTACTAATAAGAYCTGTGGAAAGGGCAGAGGTTAACAGAATGCGCACTTCTAACAATTCAATACATTTTTACACCTAGTAGTTTAAGACCGTGTTTAAACTCATTCCACTATGATGCGTATTTCTTTTTAAGTCATGCTTTTCTCTGGTTCCTAGAAACTTCTTCAGGATATGTCCAAAACGAGTAATAGGTAAAGCTGTACTCAAGGTACAGAAATGCCAGAAATGTATATTTCTGTGTATATGTGTCCTTTGAGCCATACTGTTGTTTTGGGTGGAAAGAGGGAATGAGTGTGTAGGTGAGATTTTAATAGGTGAATTTTGATTGAGTGTGACATGATGTTCTCTTGTATGTATACAATAAATAATTACTAAGTGATTAACAAGGTGAGACAAAACGTTACCTTAAGAATTTGATAAGGGTACTGGAGCACCTGCCCTATGAGGACAGGCTGGGAAAATTGGGCTGTTCAGCCTGGAGAAGAGGTGRCCATGAGGTTGTTTGAAGACCTCGTATCAAGTGCCCAGTAACTGAAGGGGCCCTACATGGAAGCTGGAAAAGGACTCTCCTTCCAGAACTGCAGTGATGGGACAAGGAGTAATGGGTTACAATTCAAGAGAGGGAATTTAGGTTAGTATTAGGAAGAAATTCTTTACTGTGAGGCTGGTGAGACACTGGAACAGGTTGCCCAAGGAGGTTGTGGATGCCAGAGGCCTGGAATGCTGGCAGCATTCCAGCTGGCCAGCATTGGATAAGGCCTTGAGCAACCTGATGTGGTGAGTGGTGTCCCTGTCCATGGCAGGGAAAATTGGAACCAGATGATCTTTAAGGTCCATTCCAGCCCCTTAATAYTTTATCATTCTGTGAATGTATACCTGTGGATGTACAGGCATTGTTTGTATTATAAGATAGTTGCCTTTGATAGACATTGTAGCATGCTAGGTCTACCATATGTCCTTAGTTTCCAGGAGCTCCCTGGTTTTCTCTTTTGTTATGTCTGCTTGGATTTGAAGATTTGGGATGTTTGTTCAGTTTTCTCATACCTCAGCCCTCAGCCTTCTCATACCAGAGGCCCCAACTGGATGTAAAGAAGCCTRCTTCTTTGAAAGAAATGTCTGCTATTTGCCTGCAAATCAGTTGGTTATACAGGCTGTGCCCATAAAATGCACAGTGGTACTTCATCAGGTTCCTTGTCATCATTACAGACATTTGTTACCAGCATTACCAACTGAATTAGCCTGCTCAAAGTATTCAAGGCTGAGCAGATTTATTTGACAATTCTACTGTTTAAGCTCTAGTATCCCCCTTGGGGAGCTTGGGGAGAAATAAGGTTTCCAAATTTGGGTAGGTAAAATTGGCCTCCTGATTTTTTTTCTGGAAGAATACCTATCAATAGTTCCTCTATCTGTTTGCTTCWCTGGAATAGGTATTTAAGTGTCCAAATAATATAAAACTGATCGATTAAGAACATGGCACTTCTTAGAGGCTGAGCATGAGCCTACAAAATTAACTCTTGTGAGGCAGTTGAAGCACTTTGGACCTTGGCCCATTCCTTCAATACTGTAAATAATATAATACATAGCAGTGTGTGATTGTGTTTATGGTGGGGACATTGTGACAGATTTGTCAGGTATGTTTAAAAAATATTAATTACTTTGCTTCACCTTTTGAAGTTGTTCAGAAATTATGCTGCTTGTTTATACAGAATAGAATGAAACACTTTCAGGTTTTATAACATTATAATATTAGATACCTGAAYTGGAACTTCAGGACCATGCATACCTTGGTAATTTTAGTCAGTGTAGTTAGAGCAAGTTCTTAAATTGTACATCTCTCTCTGTCTCATCTGACTGATGTCCAAGTAGTAGATATTTGAGAACTGCTGTGCTAACTAGTATGCTSAGGGACTTTGAACATTATTCAGTCAAACAGCTGGAGCACAGTTGAAAATCACCATGCTACCATCAGAATACTGCACTGTGGACTTTAGAACTGTGTTGATTTGCTTAATGTAGTTCAGAATGGGTAACAAGGTAGAATTTAAAGTGGGACTGAGTCTTAATTTGTGTCTCTCACAYTGAAACAAATATATTTTCATTTCCTCGTGGAATGAAACCTTTAAAAATGCTCACAGAAGGCTCCACCATGAAGACCTGTATGCTGTGTGAAAGGGTCAGGCAGAAGTTTCACAGGGAAAAGCTGTTGTAGAAAGTTCATAATGGTGTCACACTACAGCCTGTGAATTCATGACAAGATAGCTTTGTTTATTCTGGAGCATCCTTTGATAGACTCGACATTTCCCTCCTGCTGTTTATACCCTTTTCTTGCACTGTCATTGCCTCCTGCTGCTTGTCCCAGACTGTGCTGCAGGCACTTCAGCAGAGAGACAAGTGTTYCTAATTTATTATTTTAATACCATGAACTTTGGGAACTGAGTGTGCTGTGCTTGTGACTGCTTAACAGTGGAAGTACTGTAGCATCCTCTAATAAGGTTGCCCCTGAAAACCACTTGAGATTTTAAGCAGGGCAGAGTGCCAGTTTGCTAGGCTCTGTTTTCTCACAGGGAACATTTTACATCGCCTGCCATAGCATGGCCTGGATTCTTGCTCATCTCCAGGTGTGATTAATGATTCCTTGCCTTGCACAATCYTTAAAGTGCAGCTCATTATTGGTTTTATCAAGTGGAGTGATGCAGAAGGAGGATATCTTCCTCAGTTATTATTCCAACAGCTTCCAATATGAGTTGCCTTGTTGAGGTGGAGGGGCTGCAAAGACGCAGCAAATTTTATTCCTCTTCTCTCTTCTGTACCTTGCAGAGGGTATATTGGATCTGAGCTTCCTCTGAGTGGCAGGGAGCCTGTGCTATCAATAAGAGCTGTTTTTCTTGTCCCCACTGCTCCATGCCCTGAATCAAATGTGCTCCTGAGCTATGCTGTTGAGAGCTGGTGGTTAAGACTTGGTTTGCTCAGAAGTGGGTGTGCTGTCTTTATCTCACTGAAGCAAGGTCATCTATATGCCGTGAGAGACATCCACAACACACAGGACAAAGACTGCTTCACAATTAGGGAGAAAATATATAGTTATCTCTTTGTGCAAAGGGACTATAAAATTCTGCATTGAATTTAAAGCAAAGAGAACAAGAGGAAGCAACAATACGCTCTGAATGCTCTTCCATCATTCTGCAAGCTTGATTGTCTCTTGCTTTACTATATGTCTTCTCTTGGAAATGTTACTGACTGTAAATGAGTTACCTCTGAAAGGATTGTATCRCCATATTCCTTTGAAATGCCTGGGGCTTGAACTTCTTCCTTAATGTTCCCTTTTATCTGACACTAAGGRTTGAAAATTATTTTATCAAACAGTGACATATTTGCCATTCAGTGAATGACCTCCAGCCTGGTGCAAGTGTCAATGACTATTTAAATGCCCCTTTACTAGAGGGGCATTGTCTCCATGATGCATTATCTTGCAATCAAATTCACAAAATTCTTGGTAGAAACAAGTCATGGGGTTAGAAAATCAACTTGATGGTCTCTGTTATTCCTGACTATTAAAARTATATGGAAAARGTGTGGAGTCCCAAACTATWGGATAGCCRTACAGTTTTGCAGGATTTGTGCCACTGCTGTTGAGTCGGACTTGTGAAGTTTTCGGGTGAATCAGGTAATTCAAATGCTGTTACTGAGTTCACCTAAACTGACAAAGTGATGTCAGTTCTTTTAAGACTACTACTGGAGTTCCTTAATGAAATTAGGAAGCAATTCCATATGGCTGTTCCATTGTTCTCTCTTTTTAACCGACATACTTTTAAAATGCTTTTTTTTCTGTGAATGTTGCTGACCTGCTCCTGTTCTTCATTTAATTTAGGTAGCAACAGCATTCATCTAGTCTAGTTACCTGAAACTCATTAGTTTGTTTTTGAAGTAGCTGTTAATATTCAGCCTCAGACTGTGCTGCTTGCTAATCTGCTGTGCTGGGTCAGCATTTGCTTTTTAACTATTGTATAGATTATTTACAGATTACTTATAAGTGAAGTATTACATGCAGAATGGCATTTGAAAGACATGTTCATTGTTAACCTCATCACTTTCTGTTAGATCTTTGCTTTCACTCGTTGAGGGTTTTTGGAATTC